CAAACGGCCTGGGTTAGAGCAATAATCTGGAACTGAGCCATGTCACAGTCCATTAGCTTTACTCCGGCGGGATTGCTACCTCCGCAGACTGTAAACTGTAAACACAGGCTTGGCCTGGTTATAAAAAGTTGGAAAGACATTTCTAGTAACTTTCCCCTGGATGGAAAACTCTCCCAGTCAAAGAGCAAGGCGTCACCACACTGGTGACTGTGCAGGGTTTCTACTTATTTGTAGCCCGGACAGCAGAACACTCTTGTGTTGTGCTGGCAGAAGGGTAGTATCTCTGGAATTTGTGTTGGCCTATTTTCTGTTGTGATGTGAAGCCTGGTGAAGTGCTCACTGCAGACTGAGGCTCCGGTTGAGGACAGACATGCTCGTGTTCCTCTGTCATTAGAATAATTTGCCTCCCAGAGACAGCAGACAGGCAGATGACACTACTTGCCCTCGCTGAAAATGAGCCGGTAATTGTCAATAGCCGTGTCTCAAATCTGGATCTTTTGATGGACGCAGCCCATTAGGGTGTGTTCTTCAGATGCTTTGAAGGCTTGACTGAACCTGCTCCTTTTGCTTGAATAGGGGTGGTCTAGAATCAAAGAGTGCAAAACGTGTTCATTTGAAAAGTTTTGATCTCAAAGTTTCCCTCAAAAGATTAAAAAAAAAATAAAAATGAGAAACCAGTGGTAAACTGGGTCAAATTTCATGATAACATTTGATGGACAACTGGCAAAATGTGTGTGTTGTAAAAATCTTGTGTAATTTCTAAGTTGCTAACTTAGTCAAGTGACAAGGAAAAGTACTGCAGCATTTTGTGCGATTCATGGCCAAATTCCTTCACTGTAAATCAACAGAAATATACGGTTTTGTGTAAATAAACAAAACAACAATTTTTTTTTTTTCATCACAAAGATGAAATTATCTTCTTTTTCAAACCTGGTGGAAAGTGTTTGTACTACAAGAGATCTAAAACATTCATCTAAATTTATGCAATTTTTGGACTGCTTTCAAGCAAAAAATCCTTTTGCATACCACAGAAAACACCCATCAAGGGATCGTCTGAGATGAAAGTATATCATAAATAAACCATAATGTTTTTGAATGAATAAATTGGTAATCTGTGTGATAACACACAAAGACTCATATTTTTCATGATTGTAGCCACTCTGTAACAGAGGTTTTTGCACTAGAAGGGTTTCTATTTTTCTACATTAAAATCAAGCATTAGCTCATTTTTTATCACACTTTTTTTACATTGTTTTCATTTTTTGTATGTGACAGAACCTTCCGCTACAACCTCACCGGCTTTGCTGTAAACCTCGCCCTACTACAGAGGGTGACCATGTGTGGACAGTTAAGGATTTCTGCTTTATATCACCATGGCAATACGCCTGATGGCTGAGTCAGGGGCTCCATAGAGACCCAGAGGTGGGTTAATATGAGGTCACCATGCTGACATTCAGTTTGGTCAACCTGAAGCCAGAAAGGTTAGAGTCATAGCACAGCCATGATGTGAATGATGATGACAAGGAGTAAATCTGAAGACATGGTTGCCATGGCGATAAAGAGGAAAGAGGCCTAATTGAAGGGGCTAAAGGGGGGGGTCAGCGTCGCAGCTGGGCTCTGTGTCGTCCATCATGCAGCCTGCCTAGACTTCCTGACGGCCCAAGGTGAGATGGAGATGGATAGACAAAGACAGAGAGAGAGTGCATGGAGCGGAGGGAGAGGAAGATGTGGGTGGGAGGAAGGAAAAGTGGGAGGAGGAACGGGGGATGTGTTCATCGATCTCTCCGCGCCGTCTGCTGACATGGCAGCTAGAGGACTCCTTTTTGTTGGCAGAGACGCCATATATCTACAGTAGGTGTTTTGGCACACGCCTCTGTCCACACACGCATGCATTCTGGTGCCTGCAAGCCAGCGTTAATGTCCTCTCTCTTTTTACTGCCACAGAGATAGGACGATGTGTGTGAGGTAGGGGCTAGCAGTGCTTGCCAACAAGAAAGGAGAGAGCGAGGGATGCTAAATAAGTTTTCTATTAATTACCCTGACAGATTTCAACATGTCTTGACTGTATAGTTATTGTGCCAGAATTGAAAGCTTCTCAGTCTCCCACAGGCAGCTCTGACACTACGCTGTAGTGAAGGCTAGTGAAGTGACCTTTGCTGCGCACAAAGGGCCTCATGTGGCTTTCCTTTGACACGATTTGTTTCTGCCGTCGTTTGTTCACCCAGCACAGCCCTTGTCCCTTGCTGCGTGGCATGATATTTAGTGGTGAGATGAGTCCCCGCTGGCAGCTACACGCCGTGCAGGGAAATGGACCCGAGGAACAGATGAAGGAAATTATGTATGAGAGCCAGCATGTAATTTGTGTGTTACTCGTCTGCAAACGGAAGAGCTGAGTAAAACAGACCCCGGTGTCAGGGAAACCATTTGTAAGAGCAATCCGCCTCAACAGACACTCACTGTCGAGGCTAGAGGGACTCGTTCTGCATCATCAGCTCTCTCAATCCTTTCCCCATCCTCGATTCCTCATCCACATTAATGGTATTGTGTGAATATGGGACAAAGCCCGCAAGCTGCACAGATTGGAAATGGAATTCCCCTCATGTCATCTGGGACTACTACTGGTCTTCTAGCCCAGTTACACTAAGCTTTGCTGTTACAGCCAGCCTGCATGGCTCATTTGATTGCCAGGGCTAAAGTTTTGAGCTTCACTTGATCAATTCGTCTAATTTCTACCGCTATCTCCTCCCGTCTCCTAGCCTCGCATCTGTCCCTTGGGGCTAGCTCGGCTGAGAATAAACATCTGCAACCAGCTTTGTCTCTATGGCAACAGCTGCTTATGCTGAGCGGTATGGCAGCCGTGGAGTTGGTAGAATCGGGTGATGGTGGATGTCGCTAAATAGAATATGGTGTTCTTTGAGTTGATTTGATGCAAGGTTAAAGGGGTCTGAGATCTGGTGGGGGAGTAATCCCCACCACCATCCTTTGCTTCTTCCTTTGGTAGTTAGTTGCCCGGGTAACCCAGTAGAAGGGGTCAGTGGGGTTGGGCTGTGAAAGCCACCCAGTCAGTCTGTCAGTTGGTTTAAGCTCACCCTGACCTCGTCTCCCTTAACACCTTGATTACTCGGCTACCCTGCTACAATTAAAGCGGCTTTTGCCTCCCTTCCACTTTCTGTGACAGCCTGAGGAAGTGTTGGATTGATCCGGTCAATACGCTCAAGCATGCAGAGTATTTGTTTTTCTTTCTTCCTTGTTCACTTGTCTAAATATTATTAAGTTCCACCATTGAGCCGGATTTGTCAGCAGGGGTTTTGCCGGGCATGTTTTCACTCCCCATGCTGATGGCTGAGTACTTCCAACACTAGATGTTTGGTTTATTTTTTCTGACGTTTTTATGTAATTTGAGGATTGCGCACAGTTCTATCCATTTGCTTCCCTGCTTGTCTCATAGCAAGGTACAATCTGTTGCCAGAGCAGAAGCACCTCTGACCTGATTCATGTGTCAGCAGACAGCTGTCTGTTCAGACCATTGTCAGGCAATCAGAGGATGAAATTACTGGCAACACAGACATGGTGTGACGTCATCATTGCTGGGACCTCCTGCTGTGAGTTCGCTGCTAGAATCATCACAAACCAACCCTGAAGGTTATCTGATACGAGCATCTCAAGGTTGTTCCAGGGGGGGTTGGCTCTGACTCAGGAAGCGATTGTAGCCACTCCTCCAATTGGCTAGTCGTCTGCCCAATGGTGGTGGTTTGCACAGCAGACATTTTGATCTAAGCACAGGTGGACTTTATAACAGTAACAATGGCTCAACCCCTTTAAGTGTCCCAGTAACAGTGACAGTAAACCAACACACCACAATAGCAAGACTGTAATGTTATGCAGCTATCATTAATACACCTGTGAGTTTCCTGTTATGACATGCCAAAATGTCTGCTGTACAACCAGTCCATTGCATTTGGCCTCGTTTGTTTGTTTGTCAGCATTATGTGCATCTGTTTCGATAAATGCTGTCTTTCTGTAACAAGGCTGTTTGTGTTGTGGCGCAGACCAGTTTGGCTTTGTCTTACAGTTGTAAGCATTGACCTAGAAGAGCTAGAGGCTCCATCTGCTGTTATGTGTAACATGAGCCACTCTCCTGAGCACAGCCAGGTAATTCAATACCACTTCCTGTCCTCACCTTGTGCAAGCAGGCAAGGCCTAAGAGGTACCATTTCAGGGAAAGTGGGGGAGGGGACATTTTGTTTAGTAATTGCGTGCAGGGACAAACGGCTGGCTTCAAGGGGAAAACAAATGAGGTGGGCTTGAGAGCTTCTTGTTAAACCTGGCCTGATCCATCTTTGTGTGTGTACATGTTTGCACACCATCTGTGTGGAATGGAAGAGTGACCTTTCCCTGAGAACTCCTAGATAAAACGCCCTCTGTCCCCTTCCTGGCCAGCTCTTGCATCATCATGTACAGTACCGTATCCCAGGGTGCCAAAGTGAAGACAAGAAAATGAGGAGAGACTGTCAGGGCTCCACTTGTGACTTAGATACCTGCTGCCACCTTTTTCAACCCCAAACTGATCGATCTGTATGATATGATTAGGTTGTTGTCATGAACTGCACATACTACTGAAAGGATTAGTCGATTCATTGTAAGAGGATCAATCATTTAAGTCATTTATTATCGAGCCGAGCTGCCAAACATTCCCTGGTTCCTGTTACTTACAAATGTTGTTGTTTGTTCGTTTATATCATTGTGAACTGAATAACTCTGGGTAAAAGCTCTAGGCCGTTGCTCTGACAAAACAAAGACAAGACACCTTGGACTGTGATTGCAAAATAAATGAATACATTTTTCAAAGTGCATAGAAACCTCACCATGCCTCACATTAAATGGACATTGGTGCCAACAATAGTGTCTTATGCAATGCTCTCAATGTACAAGTGTGCTTCCCTAACTGCTGATGCGTATTATTACTAAATATAACATTTTCTCTTTTTCTCCTTGGACAGATTGTTTTACAGTGACGAGACAAGAAGATGGATGAGCTGCAGGATGTACAGCTGACTGAGATCAAGCCACTGCTGACCAACAAGGTGAGTTGTGGGTAGGACAGGACCGTGACGAGCTGCTAAGGCAACAGGGACACCTGAACTGATATGTAGAATTACACGTATAAACTAAACTGACATTGGTACACACTTGAAAAACGTTCCTTTTAAAGCGAATGAGCACCCCATATGGCCCCACCAGGCAAATACATACGCTAATACACTAGGCATGCAAGCTCTGCAGTCCTGTTCATCAAAGTGAATTATTCATATCTGCTCGACTGTCAAGAGGGAAAAGAAAAGGGAGAGAGCAAGTCTATAGAAAATAAAGGTTGCAGATGGAGTGAGGCAAGAGAGAAGAAGAGAGGCAGGGCTAAGACACTCAGTCAGAAAAGACAGTCAAGCAAGAACGAGGAGAGATCAAAGGAGAAGCTGGAAGAAACTCATCTCTTGATTACTAACAGCTTGAGAAATTCTAGTAAGTGAGTGACGGCGAAAACAGAAGGAAGTATGGAGGAGGAAAAAAGCCCAATTGCAGATCAAAGCTCTTCCCATTCTCTTCTGGCCTCCTCCTCTTCTCTGCTCCATCTCAACAGCTGATTGGAAAGAGGGGGTGTCTATGAATACACAGGAGTGTTTTGTTCTGCCCCCAGGCAACTGTCAGTGACAGTCAGGATATCATGAGGGAAAGTGAGTAGTGAAGTATCTGGTCTGAGAGGATTGCATTGCCTCAGTGGTGGGTCTAAAGAAATAGGAGCATATTTCTCCTTGTGGGGCTGAATTCAGCGTCAGGTAGATGTCTTGTATGAGGTGACAGGGTGGGGAATGTGCATCAGAAACATCGTCTGAATGAAGGATACTGGCACTGACCTCTCACTCCACCTAGTGGCCAGCTCATTAAAAAGACAAACCAGGAGTGATGAAAGCAGATGGAGATAATGACATGATAAGTGATGACAAAGGATTTTCATTTTTATCTCTGAGCCTATGTTGAAGTGATGAAAACAGCACTGTTCTTTCTCGTACTTGGCTGCATCATCATTTCATTAATGTAATATCTGTATGGAAATCAGTCACTGTCTGCCACAGCAAAGTAACCATAACAACAGAAGAACAGAGTACTTCGAAGTAGAACATGCATGCAGAACTAAACAAGAAAGAAAGGGTAATTAACTAACATGTCTAGTGCAACAGTTTGCATAACAACAAATGAATAGCTGTTGAATAGTATTGCTGAGGTGTAGCACATCTTTGGCCAGCCAAATTACAAAGAAAAGGCTGGTGAATTTATAAAAGTTGTCATCACTCCATTCACCATGGTGAGGCAGCTGACCTTGTTGAAGGTGCTTTGTAAATAGACCTTAAACTTTTACTTCCTCCATGCACCTTCATCATGTCTGTAAAATACCCCAGCATCTGCATTACAGCAATAGTGTCGACTCTCACTAGAAGCATTTGTTACCATGATTTCTGCTCCACTGCTATTTCAGTAGAAGAAAAAAGGGAGGGCTATCCAGCTTCCATCTGCCTCTACACCCATATGCATCCTACTGGTCTGGCCTACAACTGAATCCCACAAGAATCTCCTTGTTGTTGCTGCCCACTCTCGCTTCACTGCCCATCTATTCTGTAGCTTCCTGCTGTCTGAATAAAGACAAAACACCAACTGAGACAATACTTCCTATAAGAATGCAGCACCATTACCTACATTATAGGTGTAAAGAATTTAGTTATGATGATGTTGTCTGTACAAGTGTAAATGATGTTGATTTAAGATTCATATAAAAACACAATTTGAGGTATGCAGTCAACTGGCTGTGATCAGACTATGTATCAGTATCACAATCAGTTGGACCAATGGATCTATAAACAATTAGATGAAGTCTCACCACAGTATGTCACTCACAGTCGTATTATTCAGAAGCTGCAGCGCAAGTTTAAATCAGTAACATACTTCGTTTTCTGCAATCTGGCCACAGTTCTCTACCTGGAGCCAAAATCTGAAATCAAACTGATCAGATATGATTATTGTTTGTAGCAAAATGACCAAATGTGTTGATCTAATTCTGCCTAATATATATTACTAACACCGTAACAGCTTATAAAAAATGCGACACCACCAGATTTGTTCATACACTTCGAGAATGATGTATGTTGAATACATCCAACACGTCATGCACTGCAGCGTTCTCCATCTACAATGAATGAATTGTTACACAATTACAATAGGTGTTATTATTGACTTTGCATAGAGAAATATGGCATCAATCAGCCTGTGGTATATATTAACTCTCCTATAATTTTTCTTGCAGAATGCACGCAACTTTCAAGATTTCGACTGCCAGGTGAGTGTTGCTCTCTGTTTCTACCCAAAGCACTGTTGAGATGCTGTATGTCAGTGGAATGGGGTTAAGGGGCATTTGGACAGTCTCACACACCCATTGCTGAGCCAATTTGTTTGCTTGCCCTACATCTGAATGTTGTTCCTCACAGGCAACATCAGATTTTTCACACCACGTTCTGGTTAAATGTAGGATTTATTTTGTGGATTAAATCAATGAGGGTCATTCACTGCACTGGGTATTAACTTTTCACAGAGATAGCATTTAAAAGCTTTTGCTGTACACTGTTTTTGCCCAGCTTGTTCTCCACATTTGTCCTTTGCACCTGTGTGTCTGTGGGCAAAGCTCACTTGAAATGGATCTGTTCAAAATTCAAACTTTAGTGGTATGTCTGTGGACTGTGGATCCTTTGTACTGAAAAAAAAAAAAGTAAATAGAACCACATTGGTGGCTTTTTTGTCGTGGTTAGAGCAGGGTATGGGATTCACCCTTTTAAGATTTAGAGGCTAGCATTATATTTACTTCTGAAAATCAGAAAACTGTTAAATATATCATGTGAGGATTGGCATCCTGGTGGCATACCATATTTAACCACAAATGTCATGTTTTGTATTAAGGTGTACATCTCATGTTACGAAGTAAGGAAAACGACTATTAGTGGTATGTAGGGATGGTTCTTTCATCTTTTGTGTGATGGATATAGGTGATATTTATTAGATCTATATTTATAGAGTGTACTTTCTTAGTAAATGTCAGGAAGAGGTGCAGTGATTTCTTTTAATAGTTTTCTCAGCTAGTGTCTTCCGCAGTAAGACTGTGTTTTGTGTGATTGTTCCTGTGTTGCAGAAACTGTTTGCCTGTAAGCATTTCAACCATAGTCAGGTCTTTTTATGTGATAATGTAAGGATAATTATCATTAAAGAAAAAAATGGGTATCATCCTTGAGCGGGCAGTGTTCCAGATCCCTTTCTTTGATGGTTCATTTGCATGGGGAATGGGATTGCTGGTCCTCCGCCTCTGTGCTATGTAATTAGTTTTTTCTTGCAAGGAGGCTCTCGCATGAGGAGTGACCTCCCACAGGCAAGCACTCTGCTGTGTTTCACGAGCATCATGGCTGCAACGGGTTAAACCTTTCATCCCTCTCTCACTTTCCGCAGTCACGGCTGCTTCCAGCATCCCGCCAGAGCTAAATATAGCTGCTGCAGGCAGGGGGAGGAGAGACAAAGCATGTTAGCTGGAGCAGGCATGCTACATGCTCCCCAGTATCCATTCCTGTCGACATTGTCACTAATACATTAACATCCATAAAAAACTGCACTCACACATATGTTAAGTGTGATTTCTGTCCACTCATCCTCTTGTGACTCAGTCCAGGTCCTGCAGTTGTACGTTGAAGAAGGAATTATACCAGGATTTGTCTCAGCGGTATTGGGGCAGACTTAAATGTATTTGACCTTATTTCCTTGGCAGCCATTTTGACCTCACACAGTCACATTCAGGAGCCTCAATTAATTATTAAGATAAATCCTTATCTGGTTAATATTTGAATGCTATTTGAAAGTTTTCCATATATATAATGTTACTTAAAAGTGATATAGTTGTAGGCCTTTTTATTGAAGACATTTTCACAGCACAGCACAAAAACCACAGGTGTAAATGATAAGGTTAATGGCTGAATTCCATTTAGCTGCTTCAGTTTCAGGGTCTTTTCTAATTCTCCTCAGTGGGAGAAAATATATGAAATGTTAGATATTTATTGCTATTTTAGTCTTGTGCATTTTTGTGTGCAAGTGAAGGACAAGACTCAAGTTGGTTTGAGATGGACTATAAGCTCAAATGGGATATAAAAATGTACCACTGTCACAGAGTTCAGTGAAGAAAGCACCAACCGAGTCCACATGCAGTACAAGGCATTAACAGCAGACTTCCCATGAATACAGTCCATGTGGGGGGAGGGGTCCTCACCTCTGCACCATGACTCTGAGCAGCTGATGTGACATTCCAGCAGCTGGAAGACAAATCCAGCTGCTCTCCTCTTGACTTTTCTGCTACTCAAGCTCCTACCACAGGCGGTACACAGGTACTGCAACAGTCATGTCAAAAGCCTGTGCACCTGCATGAGGAGGGCGACGTCAATGGCGCTGGTGAAGTGGGGTCAGAGAGGAGATCCAAAAGGGTGTGGCGCTGCAGTCTTGTGTCACTTACTATGTCCTGCTTACGCCACTGAGAAGAAACGAGGGGAGGAAGGTGTGAGTCAGCCTCCTCCACCCATGGGACACTGCTGTATTCTGAAGTGCATACTTCAGGACACTAAGTTACTTCATGTCCGTGGAAACTGCTAAATGGATGACTGTACACTTTAAAAATAGATCATCTTAGGGTTGATGGTGTTTGCTGTGGAGAGCCAAAGTTTGAGATGGATGTCCATGGAACCTGAACGCATGCAGTGTTTTCTCAAAATGTTTTGTGAGCTTATATTTACCATTATTAGATTATGATTTTTGAAAGTTGTTTCCACATTGTCATCATCAGTTATTAGGTTTCACATTTCATAGTTATGTCCAGTCTTGATACACTTTTCTTTCTTGACCTTGGCTTGTACCTGTGCAACACAAAGACTAAAGAAGCTGTCTCTTTTGTTTTTTAGACAAATGGCTGCCAAGTCATGTCTTTGGCTTTTTAAATCGTCACTGTCTCATTAAGAGCAGCAGAGGGCGCCATAAGCCTCTTCATTGTGTGGCTGAAGGGCTATGTTTTGTGTAACTCGTTCTGGTCTGCTGGGCTTTTTCTTTTTGTAGATTGTTGTTGCTGAATGTGCTAAAGGAAGGTTTAAGCATCAAAGAAACATAATGTATTGTACAGATGTTGCTCAGTGACCATCCTAGAAGAGGACAAAATGGACCATGCCATGTGGAGTGTCATGTCGTATGGTGGTAGACAGTTGAATACAAAATGTTTTCCCGAAGTTGTGCATTTTTAATATGCTTGGAATGTGGAAATCAAACCTTAGATTCTGGCAGTGTTGATACAAACCTCTACATTGAACTGAGTCATGCACACCAGCACATCACTGTGTGACTTAATGACTGCTCAGACTGCAGAGTCCTGCTGAGACACTCAATGACTCAGTGTATGACACAAAGAGGCACCTGTTCTGTCAAGGAAAACGTACATATGTGTTCAGTCACACACATCCTCTCCATGAGCTGATGTGCTCAATCGCATGTACAAAAAAAAAAAAAAGACAAAATCTGGCATTAAAGATTGAACCTCACAGTGTACAAACAATTAGTCACATCCTCACCGCAATCTGGCTTGAATGACTGGAGATGGAACACGATTTACACAACCCTTACACTGCGGAAAAAATCTTCAATGGACATCAAATGTCAGAGGTGCATTGTATGGATCCTATTTTTTACTATTACTTTATTTGTCAAGCCTGTATATCAAGTGTTTATCTGTGGAAATGCACATGCACTACATGCGTGTTGATGGCACCCTCTGTGGGTTAGGACAGGCAACATTTAGAGGAGAAACAGCAGTTTCCAACCAAACATGCTGCTACACTGACTAACCAATGTCTTTGTAATCCCACCCACCCTGTGCTGTTTGCACAGGTGCCATTGGCTGCACAGAGCAGCCTGTCTCCAACACAGGCGCGACACTCTGCATTGCTTGCAGTTGTGCAGATGGCAGAGGAGAGTAGAAAAGGAGAGATCAATAAACTATGTGGATCAAATATCTCAGAGGCAGGGTTAGGGGAAATAGATCCTCTCATGTAGGCTTGTGAATATTGAATAAAAATAGTAGCTCATTGTGAGTTTTTTTTCTGGTAAGCCTGGAACATAACGAGGGTCATCTTTTGAATGTCAGTACTAAAATGAATATTGGAGCTTTGCCAGAAGATTTTACATTATAAACTAATATTGCAGTATGAGCCAAATTTTGCAGCAACGCTGTTGTGTGTGTGTTTATCCGACAGCTGCATTTTACGCTAGTCCTGCTGAGTGACACTTGGAAGTCATTAACAAGATCTGATTATGGATATTCACGTTTAGACCTTCCTTATTTGGATGCTGAGGTCATTCACACTCTTCTCATTCATCAAGGTGAAGCTAAAGTGAATCTGGAGACAGTTGTTGGTAAATCTCTGCGATGAGCAGCCATTTTGCTGATGCAGAACACAGCCCAGGGTGAGCTGTCAAAGTCAGCCTCCTCTTCTCTCCTCTCTCTTCACTTTCTCAGTATCACAGTGTGACGTCAGCAGCCTGCTCATTTTCCAGGACTGCCTCTGCATCCTTTGTACCCCATCACCCTTCTTCCACGCACACGGCCCTCTCTCTCCCTCCCACTCTCCCCCTCCTTGTCTCTCCTCCAAGCCCCACCCTCTCCCTCTACCCACCTGACCCTCTGCAGTCCAATTAGACGCACCGGTGGCTGGATGTATGGACGCACTGTGACTACCAAGCACAAACTGCAGTCTCACTCTCCTCCCCCTCTGTCTCTATTCCTGCTCTCTTTCCCACCTCTTGTTTCTGTCTCTCTCTTGTTCTCTCTGCATCTTATCCACCCCCCCTTCTTCTGCTTTCATTCAGATTATTTACCCATCTCCTCCTCACTCCCTCTGCTGTGTCTTTCTCCTCCCTCTCTTCCTTGCCGCTACCACTCTAGCCGCCTCAGCCTACATCCCCCCCTTCCTACCAACGCTCCCTCCCTCCTCCTCCTCCTCCTCCTTTTGGAGATCTTCAAAGCTGACCAGCACACGCTCGCACATAGCATAACACGCTCCTCTCCTGCGTGGGAAAAACATGTCAGCTATTCTGGACCTGGACCAGATTGCATGCTCTGGGAATGGAGTGGTGAGTGACAAATGCGTCTTGCCTGCCTTGACACACCTGGCTGGGTCCTTGCAGCAGGGGCTTCTGGTTCAGATTAGGGGAGGACGTTGCTGTGCGGTCTCCCCAAAGACAGGGTGACAGCAGCTGGCTAGAAGGGAAAAACTGGTGGGGGTCTTTCCTGGCTCGCTTGTCACCACCTTCAGCAGACAGCTGAGACTATGGGGCTTTTTCTCTCTGGGCAGCTGCTAGTGTTGGGCGAACATTTGTTTCGTGTGTGCGTGTGCATGTGTACAGGTCATGGGTGCAGTCTGCACAACCTAACTGTGCTTTTTAATGTGATGATATGAAAGATGCATGTGTTTAGTGCTCAAGGGTCTCTGAATCTGTAAATGCCACAACCAGAGGGTGTGTATGTGTGTTAGTAAGTGGGTTTCCATCAGTAGGTTGGTGTTTTTGTGTTTCAGGGCGCATTTGTCAAATGTGCACTTTTGTGTTTATCCATAACGGTAGTCGGCAGGGATGTGTTTTGCTGAGTGAATGGTATACAGCTGTGGATGGTGCATAGTGCCAGAATTGTGTTGCTTATTCTCTGATCACTAAAACCAGGCAGGGAGGTCACTAACCCCCACACACTATAGCAACAACACACCAAAATCACTGTAGCGGCTCCTTCCCTCCCCTGCAGAGATCTTGAGTTTGTAGTTTCGACCCACTGCTTCGATGACACACACGCACTATACGTGTGCTGCAGGTGGGGAGGGCTGTGGTTGTGTAGAGCAGGGTGGTATGCACCCGGGATGATCTCCACTGGAGCACATGCATAGCAGACATGGATGTGTGCATGCATTTGTTCTTGTATGTACACTAAAGTCATTTGCAGGCTGCTGGCTGCGCTTGATGTTTCTGCCCTGTAATGCTGCTCTTAGAGGTGATTGATGCCATTCCTGGCAGGGCGGGGAAGGCAGGGAGGAGGGGGGAGGAGGGATTGATGAGAGAGGGATTGCAGGAAGAGGAACAGCATGACATACTGCTCTGCTTTTTTCACCTCACCCCACCTCCCTCACCCTCCTTCGGTCTGGGACCAAAACCCAAAGTGCTCCTCGTTTGCCCTGGGTAACCTCCTGAAGACCCTCTTCTCAAAGCACTAACCCCTACTCAGTATTCCTGTCTCGCATACAGCCTCCACAGACACTTTTTTTGTTAAACTACTAGCCGCCATGACTGTATTGAAGAGGAAAAAGGGTTGCTGCCATTGCGGTGCTCTCCCTCTTTTTTCCCTCTAGCTGTCCAGGCTAGCAGCCCCACCCCATGTCTGATTCCTTGAGACACTGCTGTGTGTACATGTATACCCACACTTGTTTCTGTGGAAGGAAATGATGAGCTCTAAGATCAATACAGCTTATAAACCATGCCAAGAGCTAAATGGATAGATAAAAGGTCTTCTCCTTCACTCTCTTTCCATAGCCCTTTTCTCCATGATCCACCCTTGTTTGTGCCAGGACATGGCTGGAAAGGAATGATACATTTAAGCACTGCGCCCCTTCTGTTTGAAGGCACACCCTTCTGTTAGTCATACAGGACTCCCTCTGTCTTCTCTCTTTTTCCTCCTGTCTCCGTCACTCTGTCCCTGCTTGCTTTCACGCTCTATTTCCTCCCATCCACTTCTAGACTCTCTCTACCTCTTGGTCTAGCTATTCCATCTTCTTTCTTTATTTCCCCCTGTATGTTCCCACCACCATTTCCATTTTCATTTCCTATCATGGGAGGGGCATACACGCCTGCTCTTTCTGGCATGTGTACAGTACATGCTTGAGAGGAGGCAGGCATTTGAAAAAGTCTGTCTTCCTTATTTCTTAGAGCAAGGCCACTCTTTCTACACTGCGTGTCCTTGACTCTGTCCTCTGTCCGAAAATTCTGCAGCAACACAGTTTCCTCTCCATTTATAACAGGTTGTTCTGCCCCACCCCCCCTCCTTCACTAGGCCGAGGTTGCCGAATCATTCCATTATCTGTGAAAAGGCCTCTGACGAGCACAAGGTTTCTTGTCAGCAGGAGAGTATCTTCAAGGTTTACTCCATCTCAGGAAGAGTGGTTAAATTCAGTATCAGCAGATCGTAGCACACAGTCAGTGAGGGTTGCAGCGTTTTGTTTTGGTGTGCATAATTTTCATGTTTTTGTGCGACATGCTAATCTCTGTACCAACACCCACACAAATGAAGATATCTCATTCCTTTGCTGACAGGATGAGTAGTTTTCCCCTTGTGTCGCTGTGTCCATTATAGATTGCAGATCCAAATTACTGCAGTCATGTCCTTGAGAATTAACCTTCATCTCTTCTGAAGAGACTATGACACATATCCATCACGTAAATGCCTACAGGAGGGGAAAGAGCAGCGCGTACAGTCAGAGTCACGCTCCCTCTGTGTCTGTCAGCCATAACCTGTCTCTCGTCCGCCCAGGCTCGTGTCTTTATTATTGATGACCAGTGGGCCTTGAGAGCAGGCGAGCACTAGGCCCCACCCACCGCTCCTGCTCTGTGCAGTAAACACACACACACACACACTCACACACGCACATGCACGCTTCTATATCATGCGCACCCTTGTATGCAGCACCAAGTCATGCTGACCTTGGGAAGTGTTTATGTTGTGTGTGCGTGCGTGTGTGTGCGTGCGTGTGTGATGCAAAATGATGCTGCGATTCTGTGCGAAGTCGGGAAACTGGCTTTTTCACTTCCTGTATATTTTATCCTTTCCCATTTTGTCTCTTCCTACACTCTTTCTGAATCTCATAAACACTCATGATAGCCTAGACTGTTTTTGCTGTGTCACCCCCCTCGTTTTTCTTATACACTTAACAGTGCTTCCAGGCAAATTAAGTGTCAGATGAAATTACCCATAAGTCATTTAATGTGAAGCTTTGTGTGTTTTTGTAGAAGCACTGTAAAATACTAACATGGGGATTCCTCATGCTCTACAGAGAGAGTTATTCGAAAGAAATCGATGAAGCTGGTGTGAGGCTCTTTGAATTTTAATGTGTGTTTCTGTGTAAAGAGATTAATTTTTGCAGAGTCATACTTGTGAAAGTACCTGTGAGTTTAAGACCCCAGTTTCTCAGACAGCCTATTCAGTGCTTTGTTTGTCCAAGGGGTACAGGGGGGGTTTGTTGGAGAAGAGGGGCATGCAGTGCATTCTAAATCTGAGATTGTGAAATGTTGTGTTGGTCAATGGGGGTTTGTTTCTCCTATATCTGATTTTTGTGAATACAATCATCAATTAAAGCATAAAGCTGGTTTTATTATCCTTTTTATTAATCCTATGAATTAAACAATACTAAAACAAATAAATCCTGCTAATAAAAAAAGTGCCATAGATCTCCACTGAAAAATATTAAGAACACTTGAAAGAGCCAAACCATTGCATTTAATGACATTCTATCTTTACAATGACCATAGACAGTGTTGTTTATTTTGAAACAACTCGGCATCGGCTGCATTTGCTAGCTCTAGTGAAAATGCCTAAAAATAGTGTTGCAAAAAAAATCCCTCTAATCGTGAATCATATCGCATATCTGTCAAAATAATCACAATATGATATTTTCTTATCATATTGTGCAGCCCTACTCAAGGATGTAGTCCCTGTTTATAGCACAACTGTATTGGCTAGGTTCATTGTTATGAAGAAATATGTCACCCAAATGCAACAGTGCCGCTCCTTTATGTGTTTTTAGTATGTTTTAGATATTGCTGTTCTCAAACAAAACTATATGAAGCTTAAGCTACAAAGACAGAAATTGTTTTGTTTTTTTAATGCCAGAATTATCCTTTTAAAGGTCCAGTGTGTAACATTTAGGAGGCTCTATTGGCATAAATGGAATATAATCTGCATATGTAGTTTTCAATTGTGTAATCAGAGTTGTTTTTATGGGGCCATGTTGAACTGTCATGTTTCTACAGTAGCCCAGAACAGACAAATCAAACAATAAAACCAGTGGTTGCAATCTGCAACTTCACCGCTAGATGCCACAAAATCCTACACACTGGTCCTTTAAATGTGACAACATTGGCCATGCCGCAGACAGACAGAAGGAGAACACAGAATATTAGGTATCCTCTTTATGTACACCATCTGTTGTTTCATCAGTCCTGAATCCTCTTCTCTTCTGTCTGCAGGAGCATGACATTGAGACTCCCCATGGCGTTCTCCATGTGACAATGAGAGGTGTTCCCAAGGGCAACAGACCCGTCATCCTCACCTATCACGACATCGGCCTTAACCGTGAGTCAGCCAAAAATGGACTCATCAATACATGTGATGAAACTGTTTTATTTTAGCCTCTGCACCTGACACACACTCAGGTCCCCGACAGAGTTTGAACTCCTGAACTCTCACATTACGTGTCCTCTGTTTGCACCTTTCTAGACAAGTCGTGCTTCAACACCCTGTTCAACTATGAGGACATGCAGGAGATCACGCAGCACTTTGCAGTGGTTCACGTGGACGCGCCCGGCCAGCAGGAGGGTGCACCTCCCTTCCCTAGCGGGTGGGTGTCAGACTGGTTTTGCAAGTACTGATAAATGGGAGCACAGTTATTTTCTGTGCCGCAATCAATTCACTTAGTTAAAGTGAGCTGGTAGGTCATTTGCTAATGGAGGCACAGTATTTAAATTTATGATGAACCCAATTTCTCTGGTTAATTCAAACATAAGGAAATGACCCTGTTCTTGCTACGGACATGGACTCACATGCATTTCATTTGTCTCCAGTTATCGCTACCCAACCATGGACGAGTTGGCTGAAATGCTGCCCTCTGTGATGACTCAGCTCAAGTGAGTGACCCCCTGTGTTGATAGCTGATCAGTAATTGACTATTCATCTCAAGTCCCACGATAACCGGTGGTTTCTCTGCAGGGTCAACAGCGTGATCGGCATTGGCGTGGGAGCAGGAGCGTACATCCTCACCCGCTTTGCAGTGAGTCCCCAACAGGACCAGGGCGTCTATGCTTTAACCTTTTTTATTTTTTTTCCCACCTCTCTGTCTCGCCTATTATAATTGAAGCTTTTCGGGCCACACATTACTAAACATTAAAGCCTGCTATCAAGCCCACACAGGGCATCAGGTTTCTCAACAGTCTGCTGCATATGCTACCATTCCCCAGATGATGAATCACCTTGGTGATTCTCTCCTTTTCAGTTGCTTTCGTCTTGTTTCCACACTCAACGCAGCACAGCTAAAATAAGCACAATCTGTGTACAATAGAGCAGAAAGAACTAGAAGTGACAGAGAGGAGTGAGGGAGCACTGAAAGATGAATAATGAAAAGAGAGGATGGTGGTCAGAGGTAAAAAGGGATGGTGGTGGGATTAGCAGAGTGTCTGCTCTTGTTTAGAATTAATAAAGAAAATAGATTCTGAAATGTGTTTGCTTTGACCGGCTTAGAACAAAATGTGTTTAGCCTCAATAGATTTATAGCAGCTGTTGCTGCATTGCATTTGCAGCATCCGCAGTATTCCCTCAGCATTGGGCGAGATGGATCAGATCTTAGATTTCCCCAGACGTCCTCTTTCTGTCTTCAGGCAATTCCAGAACCACACCCCTTAATTTAAAAGCCCAGGATTCCATCTTTATTGTTTCATGTCTTCATTGAAATGCACAGACATGCTTCACTTTTTGTCCTGCTAGATAAATGTCATCAACATCAAAATCTTTTATTTAAATATTGGGCAAAATATTAAATTAACTTCACACTGTAGGTCTGAAGGCTGAAAGCAGAAAACTGTAACTCCACCACAGCACACATAATGCCAGATAACACCCATGCAGGACTCTGTTATTGGTCAAAAAGTCATACTTTTAAGTTTGCACTGACATGCGTCATTTTCTTCCCAGCTGAACAACCCCACCCTGGTGGAGGGTCTGGTTCTGATCAATGTTGACCCATGTGCTGAAGGCTGGATCGACTGGGCAGCTTCAAAGGTCAGTATTGAGTCGTAGTATCACCACTGCACCATGAACCTAGAGAGTCCTACTTAAATAATTTACCAGCCATTTAAGTCTGGTTTCCAGGCTTTTTGTCAGGTTGTTATTAATAAATGCATTTTGGAGTTAAACCACTCTACTTTATGCTCTCTACCCTAATTACTATTTTATGTTATTTATGCCTAGCATTTTATTCTATTTTATATGATGCAAGAAGTAAATAAGATTACTAGTTATAGAATCACGCACGCTGACACCAAGCCACTGTTTGCGATATAATGTTTTAAAGAGACTTCAAAAAGGTTTATTTTCTGGCTAGAAGTGGATTTAATTGGATTTAATGACATTAAAGACACAGACAGGGGCTCTTATTCTGTCTTAAGTTGATTATACCTGCAGTTTTTGGTTTAAGGACACTCCAAAGTTAATGAAAACACAGCTTCAGATTTTACTGGACACACAATACTTCTGGTGTTTGTTCCTTCTGATTTATTTCATTTTGAGTGAAATAATTAGTTTCAAGTACAGGGCACAATGTCTCACAATACTGTCGTACACTTCAACAATTTAATACTGTGAACCCTACATTGTTGTGTGTACTATGCTGGGGGAACATTCTTTTCAGTGTTACCGCACACAGACGTGGAACCAGGGGGAGCTTGATACGACCTTTGTCCCATATAAATTAAAATCATAGTCCTTCATCTGTTCTGTTGTTATTATTTGGCTCAACCAAGAAAAAATGTAGAACAGATTATTGGATAGTGACAGTAGTGATAGAAACAGGGGGAGAGAGAGAGCGAGAGAGAGAGAGACAGAGAGGTAAAACTGGGAACAAAGCTGCCTGTCCCACATTGAACTAGTAAGGTTGCATTTGTAATAGTATGCCTCCTACTAGGTCACCAGGATGCCATATCCTTCTCAATTTCTAAAACTTAAACATGGCTTCTCTGTGTATTTGCTGCTTCATAAATGTGGAAATTAAAATCTGTCAATACATACACAACATATAGACAAAGGCATAGATTCAGATTCAGATTCAGAAATACTTTAATAATCCCAGAGGGAAATTATATTATAGTTATAGTTATATAGTCACAACCATAAGCTGCCTGGGTATATTCCCAGTCTTAACTGAATGTCTGTCTTCCTCTTGTGTGCAGCTGTCTGGATGGACCAGTAATTTGGTGGATATCATCATGGCTCACCACTTCAGCACGGTGAGTTTCTCTTGCAGTACATTACTCACGCTGTGCTTTCTTTTAGTGTTGTTGACCTTTTTCATTGACAGTGTGAAACTAAAACTGAACTTCAGGAGGCTTTTCTTGATTTCCCTCTATCTTTACCTCATCTCACTCTTATAACAGACATTTACTAATTAATCTATTTCTGTCCTTGTGGATACATAGACTGGTGGATTGTGACATGTCGATTACATAACTGACAGTGCTGGAGATAATCATACTGTAAATCCCACAGCTTGTCTGGATGACTAACTCACATTTTAACAGCTCCCTGTACTTTCAACACATACTACTTATATGTACTTTATATGGAGTCACTTAACTTAATTCAGGCTCTTTATGGCTCAAGATAGTAAAGTTTTCCTGTTTTGATCTTTTTTCACTCTGTTCTGTTCACCAGGATGAGCTGACAGAGAACCAGGAGCTGATCCAGACCTACCGCCTCCACATCGCCCAAGACATCAACCAAGACAACCTGGCTCTCTTCTGTGGCTCCTACCAATAGTATGATGCAGTACATAAACATACACTGTACAATAATGTTTTTGTAGGCAGTGTCCAGTATTTTTCCCTCATTTCTTATTGTGTTCTTGATCAAATTTATGGGTACAAATGAGGCATGTAAATTCTTAGCTGTCAGACCTTTCTGTAAAATCAAATCATAATTTGTCTCCCTGCACCAGCCGTCGGGACCTGGAGATCGAGAGGCCAATCGTAGGTCTCAATGAGGACACAGTCAACACACTAACGTAGGTTTTGAAACTAAGGAGACACAAGTAAATTTTGTCTCTGAGAGTTCAGAGAATATTTACAGTTTATCATTTTCCCATGCAGGTGCCCTGCTTTGCTGGTGGTCGGTGACACATCACCTGCTGTGGAGGCTGTGGTGAGTTACACTGCATCATCTCAGAAACCTGAAAAGCGTTTGCCATTATTTCTCTTTTTTGAGCTCAGAATTCATCTCTCAATGATCTTCCAGGTGGAGTGCAATTCCAGGTTAAATCCAACCAAGACCACACTGCTAAAGGTTTGTAGTGTATTTGTTAATGAATAAAATATATGCTATTAATCTTTTGACTGTACAAAGAATGAATTAACAAGACTGATAATTATCTTTCAGATGGCTGATTGTGGAGGCTTGCCCCAAGTTGTGCAGGTGGGTTTTTGTTTGATGAGACACAATTCCATATCATCTAGCAATTTTCATGTCTAAATTATCTTTTGACTTTCATCCTTTATCTGTTCACAGCCAGGGAAACTTGCTGAGGCCTTCAAGTACTTTGTTCAGGGAATGGGCTACAGTAAGTAAACACTCTCTCACTTCTTTTGCTACTTGTGGTTAGTGAGCAAAAACACCTCAATATAAAATGATACTGGTTCTAACTAGCCGACTCTACATTCACTGTCCAAGAATTGTTTACAGACTAAAACCTTTTTGGGCTGACGTGTTTGTGGTCAAGAATTTCCTGTTGACGTGAGTGCAATGAAAAAAAGTTACTTAAATGAGGATTGTTTTTCACTTGCTTAAACACCCCTGCTGATGGGGTTTGGACTGCGGCCAGCAGTGCATGAAAAGACACAGTTTTTTGTCATCCTGGTCACGGAGAGGCAGCTTGAGCAGCTCGGTGGATGCTAACGCCGTTTCCTCTCTGCTCTTTGCAGTGTGTGGCCACCACAACCCTCAGTAGGTGAGGTGTAAATGTATCTAGCATGATTGAAATGACAGTGGAACTCGAGTTATGATGAACAGCAATTCACTTCCTGTTCAGTTAGGAGTGGGTGTCAAAAAATACCCTCTGCCTGGTGTGCTTTTCTTTTCTATCCACAACTGTTTAATAATGCGGTGTCTTTCTAGAGAGACTCCAAGTGCATATTTAAACAGGCCTTCAGGTTTTTACAGTCACTCATCTGCAAAGGAAAAGAACAACAAACACAATATGTCTGCTATCAGACCGTACTGGCTTGCAGTACACCAACCAGACTCAGCTCCACTGATGGATGAAGTCATGAATGTAGGTTTGCTTGCTCTGGCCATACAGATGACACCTGTCTGCCTGGGTTTTTTCTGTAATGCTAATTCTCTTTTTGCTCTCTCCTATTCCCAAACCCTTCAGTGTGGGAGGCAACCTCGGCTGTAGCTAGTATGTCGGGGCCTCTGCGTTGCTTTAAAGGCCACCGCGTCCCCCTGTTGAGTAAATGCCACTGCAGGATTAGAACAGATTAAAAAGAGTGCTTTCACACGGAGAAAGTGTGGAAAATAAATCTTAACACCTCAGCATGTTTCTGAAAGCTGCTTTTCCCTCATTAACACATTGCCACAGTGTAAAATGCACAAGAGAAACTGCCAAGAGGTACAGGAAATAAAGATTCTTGTTTGCACACATGCTATGATTTCTTACCTGTTGGTGATAGCAAACAGCTTTTGTCCTCAAGCTGCAACAAAGCCTCAGTTTGAATCCGACATACACTAAGGTGGGACAAAGCAACACGAGAGCTACCTTTTCAACATGTCTCCCTTTCTCCCTCTTTCTTTCCTTCTTTAATCATTGCTTACAGTTCCCTACGTTCTTCTCAGTCACCTGAGCAACGAATCAGGTACCGGGTTCTTGAGCAGCTGTCAGTCTAGAAGGCTTTGAACCCAATGGCCTCTTAACACCCCACAGTGGATAAATGTCAATGTATGCAGAAATTCTCCAGAGAGCACTGTTTCACATTGGTATTCAGCAGCAGCTCAGTGTGGTGGATACAGTCGGAATTATGCACAGTGAGATCTTTCTGCATACTTTGACACACATTCATCTCTCTGTAGGTGTGTAGTTAGTCCTTTTAGCATGGATTCTGTCCTCCTCAGTGTCCTGTTTTGTTGCATGACCTGCCGCTGTTGCTTCCTGTCAGTTCAGTTGGATTGCATATGCTGTATTCTGCTGTTGTATTTAGTTTTTTTTTCTTTCAACAGTGGACATAATTTTACACATTTCTTGTATTTGATTAGTCTCCATATTTGAGAATTGTTTGCATGGTAAGCACTTTTTATTGTTGTTGCATCTGGGTATCGAAGTGTTCCCACACTGCACTCTCCAGTCTCCAGGCAGCGTGAGTGGAATATTAATGCATGTCTCTCGTTTTCAGTGCCGTCAGCAGGAATGAGTCGTCTGGCTCGCTCGCGCACCACCTCCTCTTCCAGCATCACCTCCATGGACAGCAGTCGCAGCCGCAACAACCTCAACAGCCTGCTGGAGGGCAGTGCCACTGGGGTCCTGGACAACCAGGCCGGCCCCCAGACCATGGAGGTTTCCTGCTAAAGCCCAGCCCACCCCACCCCACCCCCTGCACACTCCCATAGTAACTGTATGTGCCCCCCCCCCTTCTCTGTCTATCTCTCTCTCTCTTTCTCTCTCTCTCATCTCGCTCCTAAGCAACTCCTCTACAGGAGGATCTGTAATGAATTATGTGATTAGAAAAAGAGGATGTAATAAATATATTAACAGATGCATATTATTAAATATTGAATATTGAATACACTATCAAAGTCACATTCCGACCAGAAACTATAACTACATTCAGGTGTGTTGTATATTCAAATGGTCAAACCATATCATTAACTCATCTGTCCCACCTCACCCTCCTTTGTATTTATTTTTTTCACATTGTCTTTGTTTTAAATGTCTTCACACACACTGTAGAAATCTTTCATGTCTTCAAAATAACTTGTATATTACACATATTCATATTTTTCATTGCACGGTACATCACTTTTACTATTTCTTTGTTGTGAACTCTAAACTTGTGGACTGCATTGACGGTGAGTCACCGCATCTGTTTTAATCTTCAACTTGCTGCAATGTGATGCCGAATTACTCCCAAAGTATACAGAGGGATCACTAAACTTACCGTAGCTGTAGTAATAAAGGTTGAGTGGTAAAACAAGGAAAAACCACTGTAGACTGTAACACACTGTCAGTATAACTGAATCAAAGCTGTAGAGAGAGCTGCTTTGGAAAGCAAAGAACATTCAGTGTTAGGGAGAAGTCATGTACTTGTGTCAACTCTGTCTCTTCACATACATTCATTTATTTTGGATTCTTTTTGTAATTGAACTCATCTCCTTTTCTTTCTGCTTTGTGTTGATGTTTTTGTTCAGTTGAATATATTATTCAGTGATGTTTTAACGACCTTTAACAAGTGGGTTCTAATGTGAAAAGTATGAGTCCCTTCACTTCGGGGCCCAGTGGTGCTTCTCACTGTCTGCTGATTCAACTCATTTATATTACTACTGAATAAAGCTACAACATGACAAAGTGCCTGGTGTTTGAATTTATCAGCAATAATTAAGTTTACATGAATAACAAGTGTAGTGAATGTATTGGAAAGAAAGAGAAAGTAAAGTACTGTATTTCTCAGTGCAGGGAGTACTTGTAACTTTCCTCTTCTGTTCGTGGAAAAGTTAGGTGACTGTGGTGAGTTAGTTTCCAACCACACTTGTTCTTATTTCCTCACAGAGTGACAACTGATGTTGTCACATATGACACAGTCTATATTTAGAACAGATAACGAAAAAAACAATGGTCAGCTGTGCTGCAAATAAGATGAAGAGATTGACTTCAAATTTGATGTACAGAATGTTCTGGGTGTAGAGCAAGCGTTAATCTGATCTCTTATTCCATTGTGCAACACTAATTTTCCTCTGTTGATAACAGAGGAATGAACCTCTTACCAAGTACACACAGGTTGACAATATCTATACAGTGTAATGCAGTGGCATGCAAAAACCCTGCAATCAATACTGTCCAATTTATGTTGAGTTCTGTGTTGTAGCTTTAATTCTGGTGATTATTACCGGCTTTTATTAAATATGATAATCCTGTATTCAATTACAATCCGGACAAAACATTTTTGCCATAAAAAACTTAATGTGCAGTTAGATGGCATATTTACATTAACTAATGTAGAAAACCATTTATGATGGTATGGAATGATTCATTTTTTGATAAGAAGTTATTTCCATCTACATTAACATGCAGTTCTTATGCATCCATAGTAGAACAACTCAGACCTGTGCTGGTAAAGACTGTTTTATTGTTTCCACTCACTTGCTCTTTTGCTTCTATAGAAGCTCACAGTACATCTGATTAAAGACTGGAACAAGAAGAGATCAGCATTTTTGTGGCCTTGTCAAAGTCATCTCTCTCAGCAGGGACTAAAACCAGTAATTAAATCTATGTTCGTGGTGTAGCAAGAGCGTGGCATGGAGACTTAGGAAACATATGCTGATTTAATTGAAAACAATCACATATGACAATATTTGCCTCCAGATGAAGATATATTCAAGTTCAAAAACATTACATTACTGCAGCACATTAGTAAAACAGAAAAACTAAAGGTGACATTTTAAATCAATAATTGTTTTACATCCAAATCCTCAAACATTTTTCCAAATACATGACATTGAAATTAAGCCTAGTCTAAAATGTGGACATAAATAAACAAATTATATGTATTCATTTATGTTAACACATAAAACATTTTTTAAATTAATCTTAATGTGTTAAATTTGACAGCAATTGTCATTAAACTGGGGTGGCCAGGCACCCGTCTAGAACTGCCCCTGCATCTCTCATATAATAATGAATATATTATAGCTTAGGGCTGCACAGCTGTCACTAAATTAATGATTAATTGTCGTTATTAATTGTCTTCCTTCTGATTTACCTGTACAAAATGCCCTTATTGCCAGTCACATTGCTCCACTGCTGCTGTTATTCACTGTGCAGTGTCAGCATGATGGATGACTGCTGATAAATAGTGCAGGAGTAGTCTGATGTTAACATCAATGGCATCATTTTACCATGACTGACAACAACTGAATCTAAAGACAGGGGAAATGTGGTCAACCTTTGCATCACAGATGCTGTTTTGCCCAGTGTGAACCTAATTTACAGTGTCAGTGTGAAATTATGTCACTGTATCAAGATTATACATGCTTACGTAGACATACAGTTCATTCCATAAACAAGTGATGCGCTATTAGCTCCACTTGAAAACATTTTGCACAAGAGATCAACATGTGCTGTTCTAAGTCAGGATGTCAAGGTCTTGAGCGTCACAGGAAGCTGCAGCAGGGTGACATACATAAAGGCCGTGCAGGAAGCCTCGTCTCTTCATTCAGCCCCCACTATAAACAGCTGCGAAAACACAGCAGCCTTCAGAGAGCACAGTCATTCTGATTGATCAGCAGACGTGACTGGGAGCTTAGACATAGACAGCAAGGCATTCACATACGTGTGTGTGGAAGGCAGACAAGCATTTCATCACAAAGATTTGGAGTTTACTGGCCGATCAGAGAAGGATCTGACTCACTACTTGTGCAAAATATCTTTTTTGGGCAAACATTTCTATACAGAAACTAAAGAAGGTATGTTACTTGCTTTGATGATGGTCTTTCATTTTTCTTTCTTTCTTTCTTTCTTTCTTTCTTTCTTTCTTTCTTTCTTTTTATGGTCAATGTCTTGACTTTTAACTCCAAAATATTAGTAAACTTATTGCCTGATCACTTGTATTATATGAAATATTAATTATTTCCACTTAGCGATCAACATGCACTACATATTAATGGAGAAATCAGTTACTGGTTAAATGTTTTGTTATTATTTAAGCTATTCTATTAACTTGCTGCTGCTTATGTGAAAAATGCATCACGAGAACAAAATCTCATCTTCGACTTTATTCCTCGCAAACATGCTGCATGGAAATTTAACACAGGATATCAATGCCTCTTGTTGTGGTTGGGCGCCTTCCTGTGTCATATGGGTTTTCGTTGCCAGGTTACAAAATAGTGTGCGGTACCTGTGAGCTGTTGACTCACTGATTGAAGTCATAATGTGATAACTAGGCTGTGGGATAATTAAATTACGAATGTGAAGGTTATTGAAGACCTTTGAAGACGCACCATTTTCTAATTATCCTCCCCCCATCTCACAGTTTCCTTTCTCTCTCTCTCTCTCTTTTGCAGCCACAAGAGCCATTTCAAGTCAGCAAGAAGTCAAAAAACATGGGGACCTGCCCCATCAGATGTCAATCCAACATGACAATCCTAGAAAATCCACCTGTGACACCAGGTAGGTTATATCCACAAGTCGACAACACACAAAATAAAAATAAGAAAAATGTAACAAATGAAACTCTTTATTTATTGTATTCATCACCTCCTCTTTTTCTCTGCAGCTCTTCCGGACAGCATGATTATATCCCTCTGTAACTATCCTTCCTTTGGACGCACAGAATTGAGCATGTACATTGGGGAACTACTCACCATCATATCCGAGTATGTGCTCCTAATGTTTCACCTTCACCCTTGTTCACACCTCGACAGACACAATTATTCATGGCTGCTTATTTTCTCCAACAGCGACGGTGATTTTATGATGGTGAGATCCACAACCACAGGCCGGGAGAGCTACGTTCCCACCAACTACACCGCCAAGGTGACACACAGGTAATTCACTGTCACTGTAAGCATATGTGTAAAGAACAACTGTCTCATTATCGTGAGTGAGAAAGCAGAGGAGTTGTACAGAGGTGAAGTGAATGGCAGGGGGTTCCCTGTCGGGCAGGAGGAGTCTCTGTGTAGGTGGCCTCTCCCTCAGTGGAGACAGGGTTTTGGAACAATTCATCAGTTTTCTCCAGTGAAATGACATCAGCCTCTGCCTCCTGTAGTTTCAGACCTCCTCCAGTGGGGAATGTGCTTTGATATTTTTACAGTGAATTTTCCAAACTTGAAAACACTGTCTTAATGCCCCACTTTGTTTTCTCTCTGTTCAGGTGGCTGTTCACAGGCATCAGCAGGTACAAAGCAGAAGAGCTGCTCATGCAGCCTAATAACGAGAGCGGAGCCTTCTTGATCCGAGAGTCAGAGACAAACAGAGGTAGGTAGAGGGTTGTTTCTTGGGTTTTTCATTGTGAATTTCATTATGAACATATTCAATCCAAGCCCAACACTGTAGCATCACAATTAGCTAAAATATTATGTCATTATTTTAATTATATGTAATGCAGTTTCCACGATTTAGAGAATTTTCTTTTACATCACTAAAATTGCTTCATGTGCTTTAGAAACATCTGAGATTATAGTTTAGGAAGGATAAGGAATATGAATCAGACTTGCAAAATGACTAATCGAGAGCCGTATAGTTTAACTGCTGCATCTGTGCATTTTTAATGTTCAGATTGTTACTCGCTGTCCATCCTGAGGAGGACCAACTCTTCGTACCAGCACTGTGTAAAGCACTACCGCATCTCTCCCCTACAAAATGGCTGGGTCTATATATCTCCAGGACTCACCTTCCCCTCCCTGCATCACCTGGTTGAACACTACTCAGGTTTGTACTGAGGATGTAATGCTGTTTTCTCCTCTGGACATACAAGAGGCCACTCGAAATTAATATTAGATATTAGATCATAGATATTAATATGTTGTCTCCTTTCCCTGCAGAGTCTGTAGATGGTCTGTGCTGTCGGCTGACGGGGCCTTGCTTCGTCCAGGGTTACGACAACGCCAGGGAAGCCAGGCCTGTGCCCACAACTGTCAGGAGGCCTACTATCAACTGGAAGGACATTAGCAGGTGTGGCAGTCTCTCTCTCTCTCTCTCTCTCTCTCTCTCTTTCTCTCTAGCCTTGTTTCTACTGATGACTGCCACAAGATGTCACTCTACTACTTGTTGTAAAGTAGAGCATGAGCACCTGGTGGCGTCATAGTAGAAGGCAGTTGATAAATCCTCTTTGTCAAGCTTATTATTTTAAGTGTTTGTTGAGAGTGTGTCAGAAATATGTTGATTTGTTTACACACCAGTTAAAATAGTCTAAAGTAAAAGTTTAAAGTAAAATCTGTTTCTGCCTGCTCCAGGTCAGTGATCTTCAGGAGGAAGAGAACAGAGTCAGACAACTCTCTGGTGAGCGAGGGGCTGAGGGAGGCCATTTCCTCCTACCTCCAAATGACAGAGGGAAACGATCATAGCTGGGACACTTGAGGGAAGACAGTGGATCAGTGTGAGAGAATGAAGTCAGACAGATGGAGCGCAGTCAGAAGCTGGCCTGTCTCATCTGCAGTCTCCTTAGGAAGAGGCCGTCAGCAGCACGCCCAAATGTAGTCTTCGTATACTGCCCTAGAGTAGCAGGAGGGCCGAGACACTACAATGCTTGGAGTTGTGACGTACTGTATGTCAGCAAGAAGACTCTTTTAGGCCCACACAGGCACACAGTGGAGGTCACTGAAACATATGTTATCATCTGGTTGAATGTTTCTCTTAATTTATAACCTAATATGTATATGATGGTTGAATGCAATATGTGAATTATATTGTAATATGATTATTCTAATGGTTATGTTATTGGAATCCAATAAAATAAAATATGTATGTGATAAATTAAATGAACACATATAAATATAACCTAAACACATAAGAGTCTGGTCTGTATTTTCTTCGTATAATAATATTGTATGTTATAACAATAAACTATATATATATATATAT